TCCTGCTGGGGAAACTGAGGTTCACACAGGTCAGCTGATGGCCCAAGGCAACAGCAACTTAGGAGATCTGTATTTGAGTCCTCATACCTGCTGAGATCCCAACCCAAGTTTTCTTCACCAACCTGAGCTACCTTCCAGGCCCCAAGATAATACTAGGGGGCACTTGCTGACAGCTTAATACTTGCCAGTTGTGAGTGCTTAACAGGCATTAATTCAGTTAATCCTCCTGACAACCCTAGGATGTAAACACTCTTATTGTGTTTTGGGGTTTTTTAAGATTTTTTTTTCTTGATGTGGACCATTTTTAAAGTCTTTATCGACCTCGTTACAATATTGCTTCTGTTTTTTATGTTTTGGTTTCTTGGCCGCAAGGCATGTGGGATCTTAGCTCCCTGACCAGGGATCGAACAGTACTCCCTGCTTTGCAAGGCGAAGTCTTAACCACTGGACCGCCAGGGAAGTCCCAAATACTCTTACTGTTATTCCAATGAGGCAACTCAGGCCCAGAGAGGTTAAGTATATAACTTGCCTCAGATCACCTATCTGGTAAGTAGCGGAGTCTAGATTAGAACAGGCAGCTGCAGCCGGAACAACGAAGTCCCCTGAAATGTGTGTGTGGGACGGGAGCTTCCAGGACAGGCCGCGGGGGGATGGGGGGAGTTCACAGAGGTGAACAGAGGTGTGTGTATGCCCTCCAGAGCACTGGGGGAATCCATGCCCAGACACAGAGGAAGCAGCCAGACCAGGAGTCTCGAGACATGGGTGTTAGGCTCAGCTCTGCCCTGTACTTGCTGTGTGACCTTGGGCTCCTCATGGTCCTCTCTGAGCCTTGGGTTTTCTCACCTGAAGCATGAACACAAGATCTCCAGGCACCCCCTCTCCCAGCTGTGCTTCCCTCACTCGTAGATCCATCCCTCCACAGGCCCTACCCCCAGACATTCCCAGAGACTAAGCAGGGAAGGGACTGGACATGGGGGTGGGCTGTGAAGCTGAGAGGAAGGAGCAATGGAGGGACTAAGGCCTCTCAAAGAACCTAGTCAATAGAAGGAAATCCATTCCCTCTCCGCCCTCACCCCAGGCCTGGGCTTGGGTTTGGGGGCAGTAAGCCCCACCCACCTCGCTTCCCCTGCAGGGA